ACAAAAATTTTATTTTACCTATCTTGCTTATATAAGTCTCCATAATATGTTACACTGAAACAGGAGGAGACAAGACAAGCAAGGTTAGAAGTCCTCATCTTAGGCTTCAGGGCTTTTGGAAATATTAGACCAATCAGTTGTACCATGTTACCAAAGAGTACCTGATCTTAGACACTGTAAAATAGTAAGGGTAAAGCCACCAGTCTATGGATGGCTAAATTGGCAAAATAGCTCCATTTGGTTTGCCTAATATTTCAAATAAATGCACAGTTTAAGTCTATTCTCTATTGAACACTTTCTATACTGCTCTTCTAAAAATCTCTAATAAAAACGAAGCTGTGTGCATGTACTTTCTTCCTCAATTTGATGCTTACTGTTGCATGAAAGCTGAATAGGATGCCACTTGAGATCAGAATAACATCATTTTCAGAAACACAATTTTTAAAGTAAAAGGGGCAATTATTATTATTAAAAGAACAACTTTAATCTCTTTATTTAAATGCTAGAAGTACATCATTATACTACTTCATGCCCTAAGATTATCAATCAATAGAGATTTACTGCAGAAAATAACCCAGAGAATAAGAATTTCAAAGTGACCTATTAGAAGAGTTAGAGCCACATGCCACTTAGGTAGAAATTTGAAATAAATATATATTTTAAACAATTATCTGCTAAATTATCTCAACTATCTTTCACCCTACATGAATTAATTAAATGACTTAAATATCCTACAGTTTGAAGGTGATAAAAGTCTAGGATGTTTTAAGGGAATATTTAGAACAAATGTAAATGTTCTATATACAAAACTATAAATGTGAACAAAATCAGCACAGCTTCTCTGAGAAGCTTTTAGTCCCACAGTCTTTGGTAGTTAGTCTTTATATGTTCTTTATGGGATAGAAAAAGAAAGGTCAGACCTTAATGTTTAATTTAGACATTGCCTGCTTACTATTGCTGGGCCAAGACAACTTCAGGCCCAAGGGCATACGTGGGAATGAGAGGAATTCAAGTTGCGACACCGGAATAAAAAAATGAAAAATATGAATAAATGGATTCACTGAAATTCTCTTCTTTTAATCATACATTTGAGGACAATTGAAATGTCAATTCCAGAGCCTCACATCACACACCCAACACCAGACTACCCACATGCAGACCTCCCATTCTCACATATTACATGTACCAGGCAGACACACACCATAGGCAAACACATCACAACCACATAGACACATATATCACACACACAACAGACATGCATATATGCATAGCCACACACAAATACTGTATACTCACACCCTCTCACACACACACATTTCTGTACACATTCACATGCCAGCCTAAAATGAGGAAGTGGAAAAGATAAAACAGAATATTCCATTATTTCGTTACTTTTTCTACACTGTGTTCATTAACAAAAATTTGGTCTTGATATTTCCAAAGTCTTCACCTATATGCATAGGCCATGGTAAGGAGTGAGGCCTTAGATTTGCACTGCGTTTGACTACACAACAAAAACTACACAGACATGTTCTGTCTTTATCTTAACCGTTCTGTTCATCACTTAGGCATACACTATCTCATAATATTTCTAGAGTGATTTAGAATTTACACAGTGCTTTCATGTAAACAGTCTTACGTAATCCTCACAGGGACGTACTGAGGTAAATATAACTACCCCATGCTGCAGGTAAGCAAACTAAGGCTCAGCGAGTTTAAGTTCTTTGCCAGATGACTAGGAACTAGGAAGAAATAGAGCTACAATTCTAAACTAAGCCAAAGACGTGCTCTTTCTACGTGACTTTCCTGTCTGTAGCTTCCCTACGAAGCGGTACTGTGGATCATTGGAGGCATTTCTGTACTTTGAACCGTTTGAACATTGGATCCTGTTTAACTTCTATTCTAGTTATTTCCACAAGACCTCACTGACACTAATTGTAAAAAAACTAAAGTGCACAGACAAAGTCATGACACCTACAGTTCCCAATTCCATAGCTGATTCATGGATAGATAGCTCTAAGCTTTTGTTTTGAGACGGAGTCTCGCTCTGTTGCCAGACTGGAGTGCAGTGGTGCAGTTGTGGCTCATGGCAACCTCCACCTCCCGGGTTCAAGCAATTCTCCTGTCTCAGCCTCCCGAGTAGCTGGGACTACAGACGTGCACCACCACGCCCAGCTAATTTTTGTATTTTTAGTAGAGACGGGGTTTCACCATGTTGGCGAGGCTGGTCTCAATCCCTTGATCTTGTGATCCACCCACCACAGCCTTCCAAAGTGCTGGAATTATTGGCATGAGCCACTGTGCCAGCCCTGCTCTAGTTTATAGGATGGTTGGATATCCTTTCTCAGAAGCTGATCGTAGACTGGGACTTTGCCAGTGTTGAAAATGGTCAGTTTTAAACTCTATCAAAGCAACTAATACTTTGAAGAAATGGAGATTTCCAGGATGAAAACTTCAGGTCATATACAATTTTTACACACCCTGCACAGTGCCCACCACATATTGGCATTTAAAATTATTTGCTGTATACATTATGTGTATGAAATTAGGTGGCACTGAAGAAATTAGAAAATTCATTTCATTCATTTTGCTATCAAGATTTCTTCATAATGGAAGTTAAGAATCTTTCCTTTCCTAAATTCATTTCCTTTCTTCCTTCTTTTTTTCCCTCCTTCCTTCTTTCTTTTGCATTGACTAGCTTATTCATTTTATCTTTTAGCAAGGATTTTTACGTATATTTGCCTCACTTAAGTGATTGATTCTAAAAGTTACAAATGTCAACTTCCTCTATGTGTAAGCCACCTACCATAAACCATTACAAAGATCAGACCATAGCATAAGTTGTCCAGAAAAGTCTTCCATCCATGCAGGACGGAAAGACCATGCAGTAACTGAGAGAAGTTTCTGCTTAGAATCCACAAGATTTCTTTCCACTAATCCCTATGACTTATCAAAATGCCAGCAAAGAAGTCTGCTATTCCTCTTACAAATAATAAAGAATTTACCGCCTCACAATTCCAAATGAAGAAACCTATTACCTTGCGTTCATTTCTTGAATTTCTTTGCAAACAGTAACTCTATTTTGGGAGGCTGGACTCCCTTTTCAAAGTAGCTTTATTTTTCTCACTGTAGTGAAGTTATCTAAATTACAATCCTATCAGCCAGTGAACATTCATATGTGTAGGGTATATTTAGATCAGGGAATTTGCTTGGCGTCTAATTTCTATTCATCCAAATATTTGTATGAAGTTCAAATTTTTGACAATTCATTTAAGGTAGTCATGGTCAATAAATATAAATAATGTATAAATTTGTCCTTTATTTGTCCACCATGTCCTTTAAACTGTGCAAATTTTATTGACTCACTTAAAACAGATGTTCTGTTTGAAATGCTAAGTTCAAATGTCATTATGCACTTTTTACCACTTACTAATTGAGCATCTAGAGGTTGGAAATGTTCTGGGCAATTAGCTGTAGGGAAATGTAAACCTGTCATAATAGCCATATTATGGTTTCTGTTCAAATGCAGAGGAACAGAAGCTAGCGTGCAGTATTTTATTGAGAATCATTTAAAAATATTAAGAGCAGAGCTAAAGTGGAACGTGATCAAATTACCACCTATTCTCAATGTGTGTATTCTGCAGAAGGAGAAAGATTAGTAATAGACTCTATCTCTAGAGATCCTCATGCTGCTTCCCATTGACGTTTTAACACATATTAGTTCCAGTCTTTCAAAATAAAGACACAGAAAATATGTAGAATTGATGGAGGCAAAAGATGTGTATCTCAGGTGCCAAAACCAACTGGAGATTGACATTTATATACATTTTAGTAATAATTTATTTCATGGTAAGTAATTGTGATCGAAGGCATAAGAGTTTCAGCTTTATTTTGCCAGTTAATAACTACATGATCTTGGGAAATTTGCCTATCTCTCTGAATATAAGTTCTTTCACCTATAAAATGGAATATTAATGATGATCTTTTGTGATTTCCTTTCATTATCTCTCTCTACTTACCTACATGAAAGCTCTCTAAAGGGAGAGATTTTTGTCTCTTTGGTTCATTAAACAATCTGTTTAGACTAGTTTCCCAGAACACAGTAGGTATTCAATAAATATTTTTGGAGTAAATGAAGTAAAAAGAAGAAATTTTATTAGCTTGGAACTAAAAATGTCCTTGGGTATCACTAGATTCTAGAAGACATATGGAAAAACAGTAGTTAGATAAGTAAAACTAGAAAAGTAAGATAAGGAAAGAAGAAAGCAAGAATTTAAGAGAAAGGTTATGATGGATAAGGCAAAACTGGATAAAACCAATTAGCATCTGAGTAGCCACTTTGGAGTATGTATTTCAGGGACCACAAGTCTCCATCCCAGACCACTAATTTTGGTAATGTTCACCTGTTAAAAAAAAAAAAAAACTGCAGGAACTAACACTATAGTCTGCATTACAGTAGGTACTTTGCCCCAGAGAGTCATGCTTTGCCACCTGGGGTAAATACTTATTGAAGATTTGTGTTTCAGAGAAAAAGTATCAGTCTATCACTGGAGTCCATCCTTTAACTTTCTGTCCCAAAACCTTATCTTTACAGACTGTCTAGTGTGACACTGGTCTCTGTTTTTCACATGCCCAGGAGAACTCTGGCTCATTCTTGCCTCTGTACTCTATTCATAATGTTTTTCTCTAGCAAGAACAGTAGTCTTTTTCTTTTCACCTCACTAAATGCTACACATTTTTAAGATACACTCAAATATCAGCAACTCTTACGATGATAGTTCTCAACATCCCTTTACTCTATTAATCTCTCCCATTAAGATTTCATGTCATTTAATACCATACCATTCACTTTGTCATTTAAACATAAATCATTTGATATTCTTTAGTTGTTTTCTTTGTATAAGTGTTTTATTACTATTTGAAGGTAAAGATGTTTCTTATGTTTCTATTGTAAGACTTTTAAATATCAAATACATTTTTCTAATGCATAGATGGTACAAAATAAATGTAGATTTGAAATCAACTCATTACTTGAATTTCTCTTCATGTATACTCGCCTTGAAGAACCATGAACAATTACATCTTGTTTTGCACATGAGTTATTTCGTGTTCTTCTGGTCAATGAAAGGTTCACTGCAATTTAGTGTTTTGTTAATGACATAGTTGACATTTTGGTGAATTTTCCTTATGTATGTGGATGATGCTAAGATGAACTCATTCTTAAAATCCTGAGGGGAGATGAGAATTTGAAAGACTCTTAGAAATAAAGTCATTGAAAGGGAGCTTAATAATCAAACAATGAAAAATATATTACAGTATACATTTTTTAATAAAATTATATAGGAAATTACTTAAAAATACATTGAGACATTGAGACAACTAAAATGTTCTCTTCTGGTACCCACACAGATTTTGACTCCTGTACCTCCCAGTCTGCTCACTATTATCCCTATTCATCTATCCTGTTTCCCTACCCAGAGCTTCCTCTCTATGTTCAGTCCTGTCTCTCTACCTTGGTTCAACACCTTCCCTGCAAGTCTCTGATTTCTCCTCCTTTTCTTCTATGAAAGGAAAATTACTCTTTTCTGGGACCTCAGAAGTCTTCCTTGATGACTCCACATCACACTAAGCACAATCTTTACCAAACCTTGCAGAATATATTTTCTGTTCAATGTGATTTAGCATCTGATTATTCCCAGTCTTATACTAATCTCTGCTGAAGTCTTGTCTCTGTAATAGATGGCAGACTGATCTAATGCATAGAGTGCCTAGCAGAACTGGAGTATGAATGGGGTGCACAATAAAGAATTTACATGGAAAAAACAATGTTCCTCTGCTTGGAATCACTGTCAATACTGTCCAGCAGGCAAGGTCAGTAGCAATCTTCTAAAGAGCTAAACTTTTCCTGAGAAATAATAATTGCTCTCACCTCCTGAGTTATATTGTACACACCATTTTCTTAAGTCAATTTATCAAATCCTAACAACTTTATAAGGTAAATATTGCTCTTAAACTCCATTTTACAAATGAAAAAACAGAAGTTAAATCCCACTAAAACTTAATAGCTAATAGGTGATGATACCACAATTTGAACTCAGGCAGACTGACTCCAGAGCCCTTCTGCCTCTCAGGAGCAGATACCAGAGTCAAAAAGAGGACTAAGAGGAAACTAAGCAATTGCTGTGCTTTCCAGACACACTATGTGGCCATCTTATCCACTATTCAGACATGAGGCACTCTTTTCCCTTTTTTTGAGTCAGACTCTCGCCCTGTCTCCCAGGCTGGAGTGCAGTGGTTCGATCTCGGCTCACTGCAACCCAGACATGAGGCACTCCTAAACTAAGATGCATATCTGATTGCAACACCAATAAAATTTCAACAGTAGCCAACAACATAAAGATTAATGGTATTTACTGACTAGAAGAAAAGGGATTTTTCACTGTTTGGCAAAACTGTTCAGAGCAAAATTGTAGCATTCCAACAAAGAAAAGGATGGGGGAAAACGAAGCCAAAGAAAACAATGACAGTGAGGAACTGAGATGACCATGATAAAGAGAAAGGGAACCAAACAGTGGGTAAAAGAGCATGGCTCCTGAGCACTCTGGCTGTGTCATGCTGTCTTGCAGATATCAAAGGTAAAACTGGGGCAAGTTCATGTCAACAGGAAAGCCGCAACAGTCCTGCAGCACAGTCTAATGGATTTCTGTGATAATAAAAATATTCGATATTGGCACTTCCCAGTATGGTGGCCACTAGCCACATCTGGCTACTGAACCCTTGAAATGTGATTAGTGCAAATGAGGAATTAGGTTGTTAGTGTTTTAAAGTTTAATTAATTTAAATTTAAATAGGCACATGTGGCTAGTGACCACAGTCATGAGCAGCAAAAGTCTATGGCTTCCAGATGGCAAAGGGATTCTAAGGACTTCTCTAAAAAAGTACATTCCACAACCCGTCACTCTCTATATGCTAACCATGTAGAAAAGCATATGACTATCTAACACTGAGATTCTGAGTGGTGATGAAAAGGCTGTATTATATTCTGTTTACTAAATATGATAGGCTAAACTGTGTACTTTTACAATTCATTTGTTAAAGTCCTAACCCCCAGTATCTCAGAATGGAAATGTATTTAGATATGGGGCTGCTTTAAAGGGCTGATTAAGTTAAAATGAGGCCATTAGGGTGGGCCCTAATCTAATCTGGCTGGTGTCCTCATAAAAAGAGAAAATTCAGCCACCCAAATAGACACAAGAAATGTGCATACACAGAGAAAGACCATGTGAGGACCCAGCAAGAGAGAGGCCATCTGCAAACCTAGGAGATAGGGCTCACAAAAAACCAATCCTATTGGCATCTTGGCTTGGACTTCCAGTCTCCAAAACAGAAAGAAACAAATTTTTGTTGCTTAAGCCATCCAGTCTATAGTTTTTTGTTATGGCAGCCATAGCAAATTATCACACTAAACCAGTTAAAAACAAGTGCAATACATTTTTAAAACTTCAATGTAATTTAAGTCCAAAGTTTCAGGTTAGCCTTGGTTTATTTATCAAACCATATTTCTTGACCCACTCCTCAAAACTGAGAATGCACAGAATCTTGTAGTAGAACATTCAAGGGAGGAAACAAATTATAAGCTACAATTACCTGCTGCTAAGGAATATTTTTATGTGCTACTCAATTTAAATTCTAAAAGCCGTATTGATGACAGTTAAATGGTAGCTTCCTATGCAGGATGACAGGCTTTAAAATGTAACTCCGCCATGCAAGATTGAAGGGAAATTTCTAGTTGCTGAGCCCTGATTTGGTGTAGTGAAGGTCAGCATTAATAAGTAGGGAATTTGCATTAGTGTCTGGGTTACAAGAGCTGCATAAATTACCTATGCATTGGTCAGCTCTTTCAAAGATCCCTGCTGGTGAGATGTGACTGGGGAGGAGAGAGGGAAGGAGGCGCTCTCTCTTTTTCTTGTCAACAAAATATGTTGTCATGTTTTATCCCATATTTTTTCTTAAAATGAATGTTGTCTTCATACATATTTTGTTTTCTGTGATATGCTCTCATTCATCACATGATTGCTAGCCATGGCTGGACCTGAAATAGTACTTAGCATCTTGCAGATATCAGTGTATTATGACAAGACTCACTATTTCGCTGAAATGTGAGGAGCTTCACAGCCTTGACTACAGCTACACATTTCAATAGAAGTTTTCTATTAATTGGAACAAATGCCACATATTTGGCAGCAGCTAATAAATAGGCAAATCTTACCTCGTAGACTAAAAATGAATAAGTGTTTTTACGGAGACTTGGGGTTCTTAACAGAAAGTTCTTTTCCCCTTATATTATGTTACTGATATAAATCTCTAATTATGGGGATTTTTCTCAAGAAAAACCTCATTTGGAATCAGTGTTAAAATGGTCTCTTCTCCAAGGTGAAACCGGAAGTCGATAAAATCAGTTTTTCATGCTCCCCACCGCTCTCTTGTGTTACTGTTCACAGTTCACAGGACAGAGTCAGTTTTTTGGTCAGTCCCCAGCATCTGCCTAGGCCCTTAGTGTCTCTTTCTTGAGTTCTGTTTGACAATCAGGTATTCTATTGCCTCTATGGTCTGTAAAATTCTAGCTAATAAATAACTCTTGCTAATATATTAATGGATTATAATGGATTTATAACCTTTCTACGCATCATCTTTGTTATTAGACTCTTCTGATGACAATGTTGCAGCTTAAATGAGAGATTTAAATGAATATAAGTAATCGGACTCCATAGTAAATTGTGTGTGTGTGTGTGTGTGTGTGTGTGTGTATGTGTGAGACAGAGAGAGTGAGAGAGAGAACGAGAGAGAGAGAGAAAGAGGAATTCCCTTTCAGATAGAGTTTTTGTCTCCTGTGAAATCATACTTCCTGTGAGGCTGTCTGAAGTCTCCCTATCTTTGTGAAGGTTTTGCTTCTCTAAGGGGGTACTTCATTTGGAGGACTGGTCACTGGACATGAAGGGTCCTATTTCTGAGTAAAAAAAGGTAGCTTGTACCCACAGTGGAAAATGCCCTTTTCAGGCACAATTTTGTAGGTCAGGTACATAGTCTGTCCATCAGAATTAGTGCAAATATTGAAACCAGATAGACCCAAACTTTATTTTTAGAATGGGGATTTAAAATGTAGTTGGGCTATTCAAAACACCTGCATCTGCATCAGTCTAGATGGGCTAGGGAATGCTTCTGTAATTAGCAACCCCAAATTCTTAGTGGCTTGTAATAAAGTTTATTTCTCTCTTTTGCTATATATCCATCACGATGGGCTAGGAGCTCTGCTCCAAATCTCCTCCTCTCTTCCCAGGATCTAGACTGAGAAAGCAGCCATTGTACCAAATGTTGTCGACTGTCATGCCAGAGAAAAAAGAGAGTTCTAGAAGGTCTCACGTCAGCAATTCAATGCTTAGCCCAGAAATGACATACATTAGGTCTGCTCATAACTCATTGTCTGGAGCTAGTCACAGGGTTCACTCAGACACAGGGGTCTCGGAAATGCCACTTCCATTTTCTTGTGTCTGAAAGTGAGAAAAGCTGGACGTATTTGGTCAGCAGTATGAATGACAACCACAGTACTCAGGAGACTCTTTTACTTTGGAATTTTATAAGAGCAAGCATTAGCTGAAATTAACTAGATATGGACAATGAAAGAACTGTATTCATATTACTAAATAGTTGAACAAATGCCTAGTAAATTATAAATAAGTCCAACCGGGAGTGGCCAGAGAAGCATCTTTTTCCTACACCACGTTTAGGTTATCTTATTTTATTGCTCTGTCCTACACTTCCTGCTTTGGTATTCTGGGCTACTCTATGTTAAACTGTCAGCTTTTATCAGAGCTGATGTATTACTTACAAATAATTCTCAGTTTTTTTTTAATCTCCCAATGATAAACTTTAATTTTTAATACATAGAACTTTTCTTTTTTAATTATACACACTTCAAGTGAATGTATATTGCTCTGGTGATTTTTCTTGTTATGTGACACAGTAAAAACATGTAAGTATGGGAAGCTTTGCAAATGTGTTCCCCCCATCTGTGAATGTCTTCCACAGGAGTTATAAATAGATATGATTAAATCATATGAACCTGCCATTTTTGCAAGTCAAACAGGTGAATATTGTCAATTTTATGTTTCAATCCAATAAATACCTCAATGGCTTTAGATGAAAAAAAATCTTTTCAAGGATAAATAATTGTCTTTCTTATTTAATTATGATCCCTGGTAGGGGTCAATGTGTGAATTATGAACTCAGATAATCCTTTACTTTCATCAAGTTTCTCCTTTTCTTAGTTATATGAACTTATGTGGGCTCTATAGCCTTCAATTTCCTTGTAAGCATAAAAGTAATACCAACCTGATGGGGACATTACGTGGACAGGATGAGATTGGGGATACAGCACACATAGCATGGTGTCTGGCATTTATTGAATGCCCCAAAATGGTAGCCTTATACATTCTTCTCCCTTGCAAATACTGTATACTGCCAAGCTATGTTAAAACTGCCTGCTTATAACCAAATTCTGCCCAGAGGTTTTCTGATCAACTGTGCCATGCCCTTTGTGTATATACTGCAGGACCACTTGCTCCTACCAAAATGCCCCACTCCACTTAAGGACAGTCGATCTACAGACATTTTCTCACTGGGCCCTTTCACAGCCTCCATATTATGACAAGTGCCTCTGAGTTCATCCAAGAGGAAGAAAGAACCTAGAATAAGGGCTAGAGAGGGATGATAGAAACTCTTACATTTTCCTGGTAACTTTGACAGACACACGTCAAGGGCAAGAAGAGGTATAAGGCCTCTTTAGAACAAAGGGTGGCCTAATTTTCCATGTCAGCTCACAGAGTCTTCCTGTTAATTCCTCCTTTAGAGTTACTGAGTCAGGAATCAGGTACAGTAATTTCTCAACTCCACTATTTCTCTTCCTTAAATAATAAATTGCATAGAATGAGTCAGTTAATGAGCAGATGAGAGGGCCCGTGTCAGTTGCCAATCACCAAGACTAATCAGTATCTGCATGTCCCCTTTCTCTTCCCTACCATCATCAAATACATGTTTGTTAAGAATTCAGTGTTCTTACAAGTAACATTCATTCCTGTATAGATTGGCATTTACCAAACTGAGAAAGAACTCTAAGAGAGTTTTAAATTCATATTAACAATAAGAAAACATTAGGACAATTCAATTTTCTCTTCTCTTATAGCTAACTTGAAACAACACACAGAGTTGGTGGAACATCAATTCTAATTTTTCCTGTCTAAATCATGATTGCTAAAAGTTAAAGCTCATAGCCACATGATTTGAGATGAATAGGATGTAACCACAATGGCTATTTGAGACATTGTATTTCATATACTTAGAAATTTATAGCACACAGAGGGGGGAATTGTTTTCAAATTCCTGAATTCATCAAGACTATTTACAAATCCTTATATCAATTATATTTTTATGTAATTCCTTTCTTAAAGAAGTTATAAGTACTGTGTGAATAGGTCTCAGTTTTTAAAACACCCTACTGAGATAGGAAGGGATTTGATCTATAATTTTATATGGTGTTTAAGTCACCTTTGAAATAGAAACAGAGTTACTTACAAGTAGCAATTTTATAGCTTCTATCATGAACACTTATTAGCATTTTTCAACACTTTATAAACATTGAGTGTTTTGAAAAATTAAGAGGGACACGGAAATTGATCAGCACTAGAGAAATTGATGGTACAGTTTCCTTTATGCATAAGAACCAGCTTGTCTCCCTCAGATACTCAGAGGCACCATTTATCTCTCCACTACCTGGGCTGGCCCGGTATAACAAGCAAGGCCCAGGGCAGCTGCCCCAGGGTCTATAAATCCATGTGTAACTAACACTCCATTGTGCTGTGGTAGAGCCTATTCTCTACCAGGAACAGGCCAGGCCGTGGATATAGATATGGTTATGTATCACTTAACAACAGAAATATGTTCTGAGAAATGTGTCAATAGGCAAGTTCAACATTGTGCAAACATCACAGAGTATACTTCACAAACCTCCATGGGATAGCCTTCTATACACCTAGGCAGTATGACAGAGTCTACTGCCCATAGGCTACAAACTTGTACAGTAGTTACTGTACTGAGTCCTGTGGGCAATTATAACACAATGCTAAGTATTTGCATATCTAAACATATCTAAATATAGAAAGGTACAGTAACAATATATTATTTTAATCATATGGGTCCACCATTATATATGTAGTCCATCATTGACAGAAACATCCTTTCATAATGCATGATAGTAACTGAATGCCATACCTGGAAGCAAGTCCTAGGCTATTAAAGCTTCTAGCACGATGAGCTTCGTTGGAAGAAAGAGTCCATAAGCTGTATCCTTTTTCAGGATTCCCCCACAGAAGCCTAGTGATGGAATCAGATGAGTCACATGATTTTCTCTCTTGCTGGTTCAATAGGAGGCATTGTCTGTCTGCCAGTCTCTCTGTAGGAGTTCAGTCAATATTAATTGAATGAATGAATGAACTGACATGAAGTATGTGATAGATGATTCTAAAAGACTTGTCCTGCAATGGTCATATGGACCTATTGGCACACAAATAATACAATTTCTGGAGGTTATTACTTTCCCTAGCTGGTGGCCAGGACAATGGCTTTGCAATTGACAGTGCTCCTCTCTGTGAGAAAATGACAGTATGTTCTCTGCCAACATTTGTTCTTATTTGGAATTAAATGGGGCTACAAAATGGGTTTATTCACATAGCATTTTGAGTAAAAAAAAATGAGATTATGAAAGGCATACACTGTCACTTAGTCATAAACTTTTAATAATCCCAAAATCTGGATTATTAAGTCATGATTTCTTAATGACTTGCCTTTATTGTAATTTTTAAAAATAACAATTGTATTTACATTTATATTTATTTTTCACTGTTATCACATACCATTTATTTAAATTATTGTGTTATAATAATGAGCATGACTGGCACAAATAAATATGAGAAATAAACCCAACTGACTTTTGATCAACATCAGCCATAACAAAAACTTAACATATGAGAGCAGAATATATGAGTCATATTCTGTGGATCAAATACATGAGTCATCGTATATTTGGTCCACAGAAAGCACTCCAGTGTGATTGGTCCAGCAATTCTGGAAGTTCAGGCTGCTCTTAATGAGCTACATTTAGCCCTGTTGACACAGGTATACTTTAACTTTCTAGGCATCAGTCTTTGTGTCTTTCAACTCCCAACACCTTTCAAATTTCTCTTAGTCACCCCAGATAAGCTTCCCTTATGAAGCTTGAGCTGATGGAGCTAGAACCTACTCCCTGTCTTAGGAAGCTCAAAGAGTGGTAACAGCTCTCTGAAAACAATGTCATCACCAAATTTTCTCCTGTTTTCATGCACCTTCTCTATTTCTATCTCAGTCTGGTTGGGGGTTCTTCACAATTCCTTTGTAACTGCAGCAGATGCAAGTTTTTCTCATGTTCACTCTGGCTATATGTTCTATTGGCACTTAAGTCAGAACTGAGACTGAAAGAGTTACTTCTAGCAACCCGTTGAATAATTTTTATACCAAGCTCCTGGTACAAACCTAAGCTGATGCACATCTTTAAACAAATGAAGAAACTAAGACAAAAGGTGCATAAGAGATACAGGACAAATCAATGGACATCTGGAATCTAAACAGTCTTCTAATCATTGATTTTCTTTGATTCATAGCTATTTTCTCCCTATAAAAAAATTGCTAACCTTTGGGCTGGGCACGGTGTCTCATGCCTGTAATCCCAGTACTTTGGGAGGCCAAGGCAGTTGGATCACTTGAGGTCAGGAGTTCAAGACCAGCCTGGCCAACAGGGTGAAACGTCGCCTCTACTAAAAAAACAAAAATTAGCTAGGCATGGTGGTCCATGCCAGTAATCCCAGCTACTAGGGAGACTGAGGCAGAAGAATTGCTTGAGCCCAGGAGGCAGACATTGCAGTGAGCCAAGATCGGGCCATTGAACTCCAGGCTGGGTGAAGAAGGGAGATGCCATCTCAAATAAAAAAATTGCTAATCTTTGAAGAATTCCTTAATCCGGTCTAGAAGTAATAATTGTGATCACAAATGAAAACTGTAGTTCCACAGAAAGCAACACTAGAAGTTAGAGGCAACCCCCAGTCAGACAGGCCTGTGCCCTCAAGATCTGGGATTCTCTTTTAGATAGGTGTACTCTTCTTGGCTTGATTTCTCACCCAGATTCCTGAGAATATCTGTCCATTAGAAAGTCCAGTAGGCTGACATCAATTTTCTCCCTCCCCTTTAGAATTACACACATAAATTTACATATAAGTATATGGGTACAAAGCAAAAAGAGTGTTATTAAGACAAAGGAAAACAAACGCCTATCAGATATTAGACCATGGAAAGATCACTGTAGTCACAATCCTACCTACAATGCTCTGAACAGAATTCCCTAAATGACAATTTTAATTTCTGGGTAAAGGACCTTTTCCTACTGGGAATTACTGTCACTTTTGCTGTGTTCCATTGGCATCGGCTGCTGCCATGTGGTTGGTTATTTGCCTCCTGTTGGCAAAATTAGTCCCCCATGGCCTACCCCGCCCAACACACAGGCTCTTCCCCTGCAAGGCTGCTCTGGCCAGGCCCACTCACTTTCCTCTTCCGGAGCCTGATTGCTTATGCTGGACTAATTCTTGGCCTGCTCCCCTGGATCCAGTGACCTTTATTGTGCACCTGTTCTGGAGAAAACACTGAAGTGGACAGGACCCTTCTGGTGGCAAATGATAGTTTGAACTAGCTAGGCAAAAGGAACAAACGCATGGCCCAGAATCCAAGATGGGAAGGTATGTAACTAATACCCTAAGACCCAGGGACCCACTCCACTGACACTCCATCCCACAGCCCCTGACGGCTGTCTCTCTGGCTTTACTCCCATCATTGACAAACTTTCTTCTTTCATGTCCTGGAAATATTTTTGTAACCAAGATTGCATCCACACAGATTTCTGAGAGAAAAAGGCCCTCACCTCTCCCAATTCTAAAGGTGAACAGAAAATTCTGAAAATGATTTTGGCCCACAAGGTATGAGCTCATTTTCTGGCCCAGTCACTGGGGCCAGAGAGACAGGATCACATGGGCTCCCACCATGGGGAGGGAGTGTGGTGCTTCCAGGAAAACGGAGGTTTGTGGGGCAGTCCAAAACAACAGATGTCCTCCAAAGACACAGTGCCAATCCTGACAGCAATGGGAGGGAAAGCTAAGATTCTCCTGACTTAGGAAGTGATTAGAGGCAACCTTGTTTGACAAATGTCTGCTTTTACACTGAGCTGTCGAGAGAAAGAACTCCTGATGAGGCCACTACTACCTGGATGGTAGGGGCCATAGCTAAGGGGAAAACCCTTACATGATTCGAAGATCTTTATGTCTTGACTTGGAAACGGGTTAGGAAAGTTAGGTAAAGGTATACAGAGTGCAAGTCAGAGCATTTCTGAGATCTCAATATTCTGCTAACACTCGATTTCATTGATTTATCAAATTTTCTTTCTATATAAATCTTGCTAACCTTTGAAGAGTTCTTGAAAATGGCGTAGAAAAAAAAACTAGTTGTTGACAGAAATTGGAAATGCAAATCTTCAGGAGGGCATATTAAAGGTTAGAGGTGACCCTGTGTCAGGAATGCTGTGGTACGTTTGCTCTTCAATCTTCTTTGTGGGGCGTTTGGAGCCTGCTTCAGTCCTGGCTTCTGACCTTGCCCTCCTCTGGCATCAGGACTTGGGGCTTCCCCCAATGGTCAGAGCCTGATTAACCAGAGAATTCCAGGCTTCTGATTATTCCTGTTTATACCTTTATGGGCTTGTGACATATCGTATATCATCACATGCTGCGTAACGATACTTCAGTCAACAATAGGTCACACATACGGCAGCGGTCCTGTAAGGTTATAATGGAGCTGAAAAATTCCTATCATTTAGTTTTGCTGTAGCTGTTGCAATATATTACTCTTGTGTTTGTGGTGATGCTGATGTAAACAAACCTACAGGATGGCCAGTCGTATGAGAGTATAGCACATACAATTATGTACAGTACATAATACTCGATGATGATAATAAATGACTGTATTACTGGCTTATGTATTTCCTCTACCATGTGCTTTACTTTTATTTTAGAGTATACTCCTTCTTCGTACTAAAAAAAAAAGGGTTAACGGTAAAACAGTGTCAAGTAGGTCCTTCAGGAGGTAATCTTGAAGAATGCGTTGTTATCACAGGAGACAGCAGGTCCATGCCTGGTATTATCCCTGGAGCCCTTCCAGTGGGACAAGATGCAGAGGTGTAAGATAGTGATATGGGTGATCTTGACCCTGTGTAGGTTGAGGCTAATGTGTGTGTTTGAGTCTTAGTTTTTAACAAAAAATATTTACAAGGAAAAAATTTAAATAGGAAAAAGGCTTATAGAGTAATCATAGAAATAAAATATTTTTGTACAGCTGTACAATTGTTTGTGCTTTACGCTAAGTATTACTACAGACAAGTCAAGAAGTTAAAACATTAGAAGTCTATAAAGTTAAAAAGTACAGTAAGCTAGTTTATTATTGAAGAAAGGAAATTTTTAATATAGATTGAGTGTAGCCTAAGTGTGCGGTGTTTACAGTACAGTTTACTGTACTGTAGTGTACAGTAATATCTTAGGCCTCACATGCACTCACCACTCACTCACTCAGAGCAACTTCCAGTTCTGCAAGCTCCATTCAGAACTGTCCCCTATACAGATGTGACACCTTCTATCATTTATACCATATTTTTACTGTACCTTTCTATATTTAGATATATAAATACTTACCATTATGTTACAATTGCCTATAATATTCAGGAGAGTAACATGCTGTAGAAGTTTGTAGCCTAGAAGCAATAGGCTGCGCTTTATAGCATAGGTGTAGATGGCTACACCATCTAGGTTTGTATAAGTACACTCTATGATGTTCACATAATGATGAAATTGCCTAACAATGCATTTCTCAGAACATATCCCTTTCATTAAATGACACGTGACTGTAATTGAAGGAAATAATTATAGAATTTCAGTTGTATCTAATTTCATGTTTACAATGAAAAAAACAAAACACTACTTCCCTAGAAATAAACTTATTTTATTACCAGTTTTTAATTACATGATGAATGCATCCAACTGCTTCCTCCTGTAATTCATTTTCTTCTTCCTGGCATAGATCCTCTAGCAGAAAGGATCTTTAGGTAATAAGCTTTCTGAGGACTTGTATGTCTGAAGATGTTTTACTCTGCCCTCATATATGAATGAGAATTTAGTTGTTTATAAAATTACAGACTTAAAACTATTTCACCTCAACTCTTTGAAGGTGATGCGCCAATACCCCATTGTGTTCAATGATGTTGCTGTGAAGTATGGTGTCAATATGACTCTAATTCCTTTGAAAGCAATCTGTTTTTTTTCTCTCTTCTAG